TTCTTGGCAGTTGAGCTTAGACCCTCCTCTCTTCTACACCTTTGTCCGTGTAAGAGATTCATCCTGCCCCCAAAACTTGCATTATATAAAATATAGCAACAACTCTCAAATGTGCATTCCAGGCAAACAGCCTGCATAGCTACAGAATGGATTCAACACTCCCCCTTGGCCATCCAGGTCAAAGTCCCTCAAAGATATCTAGAAATCCCGCACAACTCAAAGTGACCTGTGGTCAGGTTCCCCAAGTCCATAAATGCCTCCACCGTCTACCCTGCTTGTGGCATTATTATATGTACAGGCTTCCGTCCACGGTTCCCGGCTCAGAACTACTAAAATCCTTGGGATCTCCAAAATGCTGTCTTTTGTGTATTGTTTGTCTGATGGGTTCAAGGTGGGGCTGGTCACCAGAAAGGACCAAGGCAGGATTAGAGGGTCAGGACTTTCAGTCCCAGCCCTCAGTCTTCAGGGGGAGGAGAAAGGGGCTGAAAGTCAAGTTGTTCACCAATGGCCAATGGTTTAATCAATCATGCCTATGTAATGAAGTCTCCATGGAAACCCCAAAAGACTGGGTTCAGAGACCTTCCACTTAACTGAACACGGGAGGATCCCAAAGGGTGGTACATCCAGGGAGGGCATGAAAGATCCATCCCACTTCCCCCATACCTCACCCTATGCATCTCTTCATCTATATCCCTAGGAACATCATTTATAATAAACCAGTGAACATAAGTATTTCCCTGAGTTCCGTAAGCCGCTCCAGCCAATTGATCAAACTCAAAACAAGGGATCGTGGGAACCCCAACTTGAAGCCAATCGATCAAAAGCTCCAGGCCGGGCGTGGTGGCTCACGCCTGCAATCCCAGCACTTTGGGAGGCCGAGGCGGGAGGATCACAAGGTCAACAGATCAAGACCATCCTGGCCAACATGGTGAAACCCCATCTGTACTAAAAACACAAAAATTAGCCGGGCATGGTGGCAGGCGCCTGTAGTCCCAGCTACGTGGGAGACTGAGGCAGGAGAATTGCTTGAATCTGGGAGGCAGAGTTTGCAGTGAGCCGAGATTGTGCCACTGCTCTCCAGCCTGGTGACAGAGCAACACTCCATCTAAAAAAACAAACAAACAAAACCTTCCAGAAGCCCAGACTTGCAACTGGTGTCTGGGGGACGTGGGGGTCACTCTTGGGGACTGAGCCCCCAGTCTGTGCAATCTGACACCATCTCCAGGTAGATGATGTTGCAATTGAATTGGAAGACACCCAGCTGGTGTTAGCTGCTGGGTGTATGGGGAAAAAAAAAAAAAACCCACACATTTGGTCACCGTAGTCGTCTTCTGTATTGATGACTCCAGTGGTAGTGGTGGTAGTGGTTTTGGTGTCACAGCAGAGGAAAAATACAGTTTGAGGCGGGCTCAGTGACTCACGCCTGTCATCCCAGTACTTTGGGAGGCCACGGCGGGTGGATCACTTGAGGTCAGGAGTTCAAGACCAGTCTGGCGAACATGGTGAAATCCCATCTCTACTAAAAATACAAAAATTAGCCAGGCATGGTGGCGGGCGCCTGTAATCCCAGCTACTTAGGAGGCTGAGGCAGGAGAATTCCTTCAACCAGGAGGTGGAGGTTGCAGTGAGCTAAGATCACGCCACTGTGCTACAGCCTGGGCAAGACAGGCAGGTCACCTGAGGTCAGGAGTTCGAGATCAGCCTGGCCAACAGGGTGAAACCTTGTCACTGCTAAAATTACAAAAATTAGCCAGGTGTGGTGGCTCACACCTGTAATCCCAGCTACCTGGGAGAGTCAGGCAGGAGAATCGCTTGAAGCCAGGAGGTGGAGGTTGCAGTCAGCCAAGATCGCACCACCACACTCCAACCTGAGCAACAGCACAAGACCCTGTTTCAAATAATAATGATAATGATGATGTTAATAATAATAACAGATTTCACATATGAAATCCGATGTCAGCCACTGTACAATTGAAACTGTTAGCTCATTTAAAACTCCCGAGAGCACCGGGCACGGTGGCTCACGCCTGTAATCCCAGCACTTTGGGAGGCCAAGGCGGGCGGATCACCTGAGGTCAGGAGTTCGAGACCAGCCTGGCAAACATGGTGAAACACCATCTCTATCAAAAAATACAAAAATTAGCCGACCGTGGTGGCGGGCGCCTAATCCCAGTAGCTGCAATCCCAGCTACTCGGGAGGCTGAGGCAAGAGAATCGCTTGAACCCAGGAGGCCGAGGTTGCAGTGACCTGAGATTAGCGCCACTGTACTCCAGCCTGGGAGATAAGAGCGAGAATTCTCAGAGGGTTTTCCACTCTGCTTTCCCCACCGAGGTGTCTCACACCCCTGAGATACCGCGATGAGCCCAACTAAGGCCCTCATCTCCATCCGGATCTTGGGCACAGGGGGTTTCCTGTGCAGACCACGCCAGAGATTGCGGGCCGCAAGACAAAGCTGAGATGCACCACGGACAAGATGCGACGGTCAGGAAAGTCGACTTGAAAAGTATCCCCTGCTGGGAAACCTCAGAATGGGGATCCCCTGAACAGAAATCCCCCCTGAAAGGGGCGCACCTACCTCAGTGGTGTGGGCGTACCTCCGCTTCCTGACATCTGACCTCTTGTAAACATGCGGTCTTTGTTCCCACCCCATGCCCTCGGACAAATCCACAAATCCGCACTCCCTGATCCCAAACCCTAGAAGCCAGATTTGGAGATCTAGAATTTAGAGGCCAGACACGGTGGCTCACGCCTGTAATCCCAGCACTTTGGGAGACCGAAGCGGGTGGATCACTTGAGGTCAGGAGTTCGAGACCAGCCTGGCCAACACGGCGAAACCCCATCTCTAGCAAAGATTAAAAAAAAAAAAAAAATTAGCCGGGCGTGGTGGTGGACGCCTATAATCCCAGCTACTTGGAAGACTGAAGCAGGAGAATCTCTTGAACCCGGGAGGCGGAGGTCGCAACGAGCTGAGATTGCACCATTGCACTCCAGCCTGGGTGACAGAGCAAGACTCTGTCTCAAAAAAAAAAAAAAATTAGAATTTGGAAAGGTAGTACGATGTGTGTAGCACGGATTATCCCCTCTGGGGGCTCCTAGGACATCCCTCCATAATCAAGCATACTTGATTGATGTAAACGTCCCTGTTTCATTGCAGGTTATGCAATGAATAAAGACCATCAAAACAATTACATGGGCACAGTCAAGTTCAACTGCCAAAGTAGTTATGACAAAGGCAAGTTTCTGCTTGGGAGATTAACATTTTTCCAGCTTTAGGTATATCAATATACCATGTATGTAAATTATATATAAATATAATTTTAAATTATATGTGTAAAATGTGTATATATGGTTTACCTTTTTTTTTTTTTTTTTTTTACATTATTAAGGATTCAGTTCAGTGATAATAAATACCTTTGTAGGGGCCGCGTGCGGAGCCGCGCGCCCGGGAGGCTCCGGGACCGTGGCGGCGGGCGGCGGCAGCTCAGCCCTCCGCGGGCCATGTCCTCTCCGGCTGTGGCGAGGAGTCCCCCGGGAGGGAGTCGGGAGGTGGCCCCGGCGCCGCAGGGCGGAGGCCGGTTCTGGGAAGTGGGCGGCGGCAGCGGCCTTCGGCTGGAGCGCGCGCCCGCGGAGTCGGAGCGCTGGGACCTGCTGCTCCGCCGGGGGGAGCTGCTGGCGCTGGGCGGCCACCTGAAGGGCGCGCCGGAGGCGTTCGCGGCGGCGCTGCGCCGCGGGGCCCCGGCCAGGCCCGAGTGCCTGGGCGCCCTGGTGGGACTGCCTGGTGTTCAACTACCGGCTCCGCCACGGGCTGAGCTGGAGCGCGGGGCGCGGACGGCGGCGCCTGCGGGGTCTTCAGATGCCTGGGCTGCCGGGGCTGCCTGGGCTGCCGGGGCTTCCTGAGCGAGCCAGTGCCGTGCCTTGTGGCCACAGCTACTGCCGCCGCTGCCTGCGGAGGGAACTCCGGGCCCGCTGCCGCCTCTGCCGGGATCGGCTGCCGCCCCCCACCGCCAGTGCCACTGATGCTGAAGGGACCGCCCCGCGGCCGCCGCCTCTGGCGGCCGCCATCGCCGCCTCAGACTTCAGAACCAGCGTCGTCCTCAACCACCTGGCGGAGAAGTGGTTCCCGGGCCAGCGCGAGCGGCCCCGGGCGGCTGGCAGACTCGGGGAGCTGCTGCACCAGGGGCGCTACCGGGAGGCCTTGGCCGCCGCCTGCGAGGCGCTGCGAGCAGAGCCCAGTGACTTGATTGTAAAAATGTACAGAGCGGAATCATATGCTGGTCTCCAAGAGTTTAAAGCAGCCATAGAAGATTTCAATGCAGTTCTTTTTCAACTTCCAGATTGGCCTGAGGCTTACTTCAGGAAAGGAAAAGTACTCTATGATGCTGGTTTTTTGGGTGATGCCTTACAACTCTGTCTTCAGTGCTTAGCCCTTGATGAAGATGTTGCACCTGCAAAGCTGCAAGTGCAAAAGATTTTATGTGATTTATTATTACCTGAAACCTTAAGAGAAGGCCTGAAGGAATCTTCCTGGAATTCATTACCGTGTACTAAAAACAGACCTTTTGATTTTCCTTCAGTGATGGAAGAGTCTCAGTCTCCCAGTGAGCCTAGCCCAAAGCAGAGTGAAGAAATACCAGAGGTCACTTCAGAGCCCGTCAAAGGAAGCTTAAACCGTGCTCAGTCAGCACAGTCTATCCATTCCACAGAAACGCCTGCCAGAGAGGACCGTTTAAAAAGAGTGTCCTCAGAACCTGTTCTGTCTGTTCAAGAAAAAGGTGTTCTGCTGAAAAGAAAGTTGTCTCTTTTAGAACAGGATGTGATTGTAAATGAAGGTGGAAGAAATAAGCTTAAAAAACAAGGAGAAACTCCCAATGAAGTCTGTATGTTTTCCTTGGCTTATGGTGATATTCCAGAAGAATGAATCGATGTCTCGGATTTCCAATGTTCTGTCTGCGTGAGGTGGTTTTTTGAGCCAGTAACAACCCCTTGCGGACATTTATTCTGTAAGAATTGTCTTGAGCGTTGTTTAGATCATGCACCACATTGTCCTCTTTGCAAAGAAAGCTTAAAAGAGTATCTAGCAGATAGGAGGTACTGTGTCACACAGCTGTTGCAAGAATTAATAGTGAAGTATCTGCCTGATGAACTGTCTGAGAGAAAAAAAATATATGATGAAGAAACTGCTGAACTCTCACACGTGACCAAGAATGTTCCAATATTTGTTTGTACTATGGCCTACCCCACTGTGCCTTGCCCTCTCCGTGTATTTGAGCCAAGATATAGATTGATGATTCGAAGAAGTATACAGACTGGAACCAAACGGTTTGGCATTGTGTGTCAGTGATACACAAAATAGTTTTGCAGATTATGGTTGTATGTTGCAAATGAGAAACGTGCATTTCTTACCTGACGGAAGGTCTGTGGTTGATACAGTTGGAGGAAAGCGGTTTAGGGTTTTAAAAAGAGGAATGAAAGATGGATATTGCACTGCCGACATTGAATATCTGGAAAATGTTAAGGTTGAGAATGAAGATGAGAGTAAGAATCTCAGAGAGCTTCATGATTTGGTTTACTCTCAAGCCTGCAGCTGGTTTCAGAATTTAAGAGACAGATTTCGAAGCCAAATTCTTCAGCACTTTGGATCAATGCCCGAGAGGGAGAAAAACCTTCAGGCAATCCCTAATGGACCCACATGGTGTTGGTGGCTTCTTGCAGTTCTCCCTGTAGATCCACGATACCAGCTGTCAGTTTTGTCAATGAAGTCTTTGAAAGAACGGTTGACAAAGATACAGCATATACTGACCTATTTTTCTTTTTTTTTTTTTTTTTTTTTTTTTTTTTTTTTTGAGATGGAGTCTCGCTCTGTAGCCCAGGCTGGAGTGCAGTGGCCGGATCTCAGCTCACTGCAAGCTCCGCCTCCCGGGTTCACGCCATTCTCCTGCCTCAGCCTCCCGAGTAGCTGGGACTACAGGCGCCCGCCACCTCGCCCGGCTAGTTTTTTGTATTTCTTAGTAGAGACGGGGTTTCACCGTGTTATCCAGGATGGTCTCGATCTCCTGACCTCGTGATCCGCCCGTCTCGGCCTCCCAAAGTGCTGGGATTACAGGCTTGAGTGGTTGGTTTACAATATCCCATCCTTGCATAATTGCTTTTATGAAATTATGACTTTGTAACTCCCTTCTCCTTCTTGGCAAGAGGGTTCTTTTTTTTTTTTTTTTTTGAGACGGAGTCTCGCTTTGTTGCCCAGGCTGGAGTGCAGTGGCCGGATCTCAGCTCACTGCAAGCTCCGCCTCCCAGGTTTATGCCATTCTCCTGCCTCAGCCTCCCGAGTAGCTGGGACTACAGGCACCCGCCACCTCGCCCGGCTAGTTTTTTGTATTTTTTTTTTTAGTAGAGACGGGGTTTCACCGTGTTAGCCAGGATGGTCTCGATCTCCTGACCTTGTGATCCACCCGTCTCGGCCTCCCAAAGTGCTGGGATTACAGGCTTGAGCCACCGCGCCCGGCCGACGGTTCTTTTTTTAAAGACAGGGTGTCTCTCTGTCGCCCAGGCTAGAGTGCAATGGTGTGATCACAGCTCACTGCAGCCTCGACCTCCTGGGCTCAAGAGATCCTCCCGCCTCGGCCTCCCAAGTAGCTGGAGCCACAGGTATGTACCACCATGCCCAGCTTGAGGATACCTCTGTAACATCACAGCTGTGTCACGGCAAGGCTCTTCTGTGAGCTGTTGCTTCTTTCTAATACCCACATCTGTCGTTGTATGATGTCATCTGTAAACCTGTGTGTCACTGCTTGAGAAATGTGCCTTTGTGTTGTCTTAGTCATATCTCTCAACGCGTCCTGTTCAACATACAGTATTTTCACTATCTTATTTCACTATCTCTCATGGTATTTTCACTATCTCTTATTTCACTATCTCTCATAGTATTTTTACTCTCTCTATTATTGGCCTTGCTTGCCAGTTTTGAATCAAACCTTTTTTGTTTGTTTGTTTGTTTGTTTTGAGACAGAGTCTCGCTGTTTCACCCAGGCTGGAGGGCAGTGGCGCGATCTCAGCTCATTGCAAGCTCCGCCTCCCAGGTTCAAGCAATTCTCCTGTCTCAGCCTCTAGGTAGCTGGGATTACAGGTGCCCACCACCACGCCCAGCTAATTTTTGTATTTTTAGTAGAGGCGGGGTTTCACCATGTTGGCCAGGCTGGTCTCAAACTCCTGACCTCGTGATCCACCCGCCTCAGCCTCCCAAAGTGCTGGGATTACAGGCATGAGCCACTGTGCCTGGCCGCAACCCCTCTATTGTACCACTGTGTTTCTGTAACATCGTTTCTGTCCATTTGAGTGTCCTTAATAATTGCTAACCAGGAGCCAGACACTGTGCATTGAAAGTGTATTAAATTATCAACTCCTGGCTGGGTGCGGTGGCTCACGCCTGTAATCCCTGCACTTTGGGAGGCCGAGGCGGGTGGGTCACTTGAGGTCAGCAGTTTGAGACCAGCCTGGCCACCATGGCAAAACCCCATCTCTGCTAAAAATACAAAAATCAGCTGGACATGCTAGCATGTGCCCGTAGCTCCAGCTACTCGAGAGGCTAAGGCAGGAGAATCACTTGAGCCTGGGAGGCGGAGGTTGCAGTGAGCTGAGATGGTGCCATTGTACTCCACTTGGGTGACAGAGCGAGACTCCATCTTAAAAAAAAAAAAAAAAAATTATCAACTCCTTTAATTCTCTTTTTTAATTGATATGGCTGTTATAACAAAGTAGCTCATACTGGGGGCTTCAACAGCAGAAATTTATTGTCTAACAGTTCTGGAGGCTGGAAGTCCAAAATCAAGGCATTGGCAGATAAGGTTCCGTCTGAGGGCTGTAAGGGAAGGCTGTGTTCCAGGCCTCTCTCCTTGGCTTATAGATGACATTTTCTTCTTTTTTTTTTTTTGTTTTTTTTTTTTTGTTTTTTTGAGATGGAGTAGCCAGGATGACAGGTGCACGCCTCCACACCCGGTTAACGTTTGTATTTTTAGTAGAGACGAGGTTTCACTATATGGGCCAGACTGATCTCAAACTCCTGATCTCAAGTGATCCACCAAAGTGCTGGGATTACAGGCGTCAGCTACTGGGGCCTGGCCACAGATGCCATTTTCTTCTGTACATGCTGCTCTCCCTGTGTGTGTCGGCGTCCAAATTCCACCCCTCATCCCCACTTTTTTTGGAGACAGGATCTTGTTGTGTCACACAGGGTGGATTGCAGTGGTAATCATAGCTCACTGCAGCCTTGACCTCAAGGTTCAAGTGATATCCCACCTCAGCCTCCCTAGCAGCTGGGACTACAGGTGTGCACCACCACACCCAGCTAATTTTTGTATTTTTTGTAGAGACAGGGTCTTGCTATGTTGCCCATGACTGGTCTCAAGCCCCTGGGCTCAAGCAATCCACGTGACTCGGCCTCCCAAAGTGCTGGAATTACAGGCATGAGCCACCCTACCACATCTAGCCAAAGCCCCCATTTTATAAGAACATCAGTCATATTAGATCAGGGATTACCCTAATGACCTCATTTTAACGTGATCACCCCTGTAAGACCCTATCTCTAAATAGATGCAGTCAGGCTGAAAAGGCTGAAACTTAGGTACTTTCCCCATTTGGGACTAAACTTACTCATCAGAGAATGGGCCTCAGAAGCAAGGTTCCCGAATTTGTGGTTGGGTCATTGTAGATTCAGGGTGTGGAAAAGAAGCCTCAAACAAGAAAAACAGTTCCAATAAGAAATACTGGGGAGGGCGGACTTGGTGGCTCATGCCTGTAATCCCAGCACTTTGGGAGGCTGAAGTGGGTGGATCACTTGAGCCCAGAAGTTGGAGACCAGCCTGACCAACAAACCCTGTCTCTGCTAAAAATGCAAAAATTAGCTGGGTGTAGTGGTGTGTGTCTGTAACCCCAGCCACTCAAGAGGCTGAGGCAGGAGAATCGTTTGTGAACCAGGGAGGTGGAGGTCGCAGTGAACTGAGATCGCACCACTGCACTCCAACCTGGGTGACAGAGCGAGACTCCGTCTCAAAACAAACAAAAAACAGAAATATAATTTTCCTTTTTTCCCTTAACAATTATACAATACAATCAACAGACTGTAATAGAAAACTGTCCCTGCTTCCAAATCAACAGAGGACCATTGTATGCATTGTCAGGTCTTTATATAAGAGTTAAGCTTTATTTATAATTGTTTGTGGGCCAGGTGCGGTGACTCATGTCTGTAATCCCAGCACTTTGGGAGGCCAAGGCTGACAGAGTCAGAGCATCGTCATCTCAGACAAATCCCGCCACTTCAAGTTCCAGCTCCCTTTCTTTCTTTCTTTTTTTTTTTTTGAGACAGGATTTCACTCTTGTCGCCCAGGCTGGAGTGCAATGGTGTGATCTTGGCTCACTGCAACCTCCACCTCCCGGATTCAAACGATTCTCCTGCATCAGCCTCCTGAGTAGCTGGGATTACAGGTGCATGCCAGTGCGTCCAGCTAACTTTTGTGTTTTTAGTAGAGACAGCATTTTGCCATGTTGGCCAGGCTGGTCTCAAACGCCTGACCTCAAGTGATTCACCTGCCTCAGCCTCCCAAAGTGCTGGGATTACAGGCGTGAGCCACTGCACCTGACCTCCAGCTCCCTTTCTAGCCTCATGCATTTCAAGAAAATCACTTCTCTTCTAACTACAAGCAGCCAGAAAGATCAGACAGTAAAACACAGATAAGGCAGCTCAGACACAGCGGGAGGCGAGGAGGAAGTCTCTTGGGTAACTGCCAAACTTCACCCTCAATCAATGGGCCCCAGTAAAACAGTGGGGTCTTACTTAATAAACACATTCCTTTCCCTTCAGATGCACTAACATGGGGAAGCTAAAGGCAGACTCGGCGGGCAATGCCTGCAGCTGCAGGAAGGTGCATGGGGACAGACATGCAACTCTCCCTCCTAGATAAGCACAACAAAGAAACACAGGGCTGGGCACGGGGAGGTAGAGGTTCCAGTGATCCGAGATTGTGCCACCACACTCCAGCCTGGGCAACAGAGCGAGACTTCAACTAAGAAAAAAAGAAGAAAGAAAGAAACACAGAAGCAGTCCAAGCTTCTGATAAATCTCTAAAAACTCCTAGTCTGTAAGAGAGTGTGCCTCTGACCTAACTCAGCCAGAAGCCCCTCTCAGGTTTATTTCCTCTGAAAATAAGAGAGAAAGGTGGCTTGACTGTTAAGCCACCTTTCCTGTTTCTTTCCTCTTTCTTTAATTCTTATAGAGTCGGGAGGATAACTCAAGCCCGGGAGTTTGAGACCAGCCTAGGCAACATAGCAAGACCTCGTCTCTACAAAAAAACAAATAAAATTGCCAGGCACAGTGGCTCACACCTGTAATCCCAACACTTTGGGAGGCTGAGGTGGGCAGATCATGAGGTCAAGAGTTGGAGACCATACTGCCAACATCGTGAAACCCCATCTGTACTAAAAATACAAAAATTAGCCGGGTTTGGTGGCGGGCACCTGTAATCCCAGCTACTCAGGAGGCTGAGGCAGGAGAATTGCTTGAACCCAGGAGGCAGAGGTTGCAGTGAGCCGAGATCGTGCCACCGCACTCCAGCCTGGTGACAGACCAAGACTCCATCTCGAAAAACAATAATAATAATAACGATAAATTTAAAAATAATAATAAAAATAAAAATAAACAAAATTAGCCAGGCTTGGTAGTGCACACCAGTAGCGCCAGCTACTCAGAGGCTTAGGTGGGAGGATCACTTGAGCCTGGGAGGTTGAGGGTGCAGTGAACTGTGATCATACCACTGCTCTCCAGCCTGGGTGACAGAGCAAGACCCTGTCTCAAAAACAAAACAAAACAAAACACAGATCATGTTAGAACAAAAAATAAAAAAATAAATAATTTTATTTATTCTGCAGTTCTGGGGGTTAAGACTTCAACATGTGAATTTGAGGGTGGAAGGAGCATAATTCAAACACGCTACCCTCTTGCATATTCCATGGGGTTACTTGGAAAAGATCCAGGGTTCCAGGAAGTCCATCTCTAGAACTCACATTGTCAACCACTCTGCCTGTTACTGGGACTGTGTGGTGTTAAGCCCACTTCCCTGGGCTTCAGTTTCCTTGTCTATAAAATGGGAATAATTATAGAATAGCAGCTTCACACAGGGGTCGTCATAAGGTAATTAGTGCCTGGGACGAGTAAACATTAATAAATGCATCTGGGCTGGGCGCAGTGGCTCACACCTGTAATCCCAGGACTTTGGGAGGCCAAGGCGGGAGGATCACTTGAGGTCAGGAGTTCAAGACCAGCCTGGCCAACATGGCATAATCCCTCCTCTACTAAATATACAAAAATTAGCTGGGCGTGGTGGTGGGCACCTGTAATCCCAGCTACTAAGGAGGCTAAGGCAGAAGAATCGCTTGAACCCAGGAGGTGGAGGTTGCAGTGAGCCAAGATCGTGCCACTGTACTCCAGCCTGGGTGACAGAGGGAAATTCTGTCTCAAAAACAAAAAAATAAAGTAAATGCACCTGGGTTGAATAGTGAGTTGAAGAGTGTCCCCACAAAATTCACGTCCTTCCTAAAATTTCAGAATATGACCTTATTTGGAAATAGCATCTTTGCAGATGCAATAAATGCATAATGCCTGGGACTAGTAAACATCAATAAATGCATCTGTGGTTATTGCTACTACTGTAGAATTTCAGCTGCATGCATAGTCTTGGGTCTTGGGAACATCCTAGAACATTATGGGGTCCAAGCATCCCTGCTGTGAGGCACACCCAGGCCCCACATAACCCCAAAAGCAGGGCAATCATTTGAATGCCAAAGCCACCCAAGGGGACAGTGAGGGACCTGGAGGCCTGCATGCTTAGGGGTTCTTGTCTTAGAGGTTATTTGGCTACAAATTTGGAACAAAATCCACCCCAGAAGAAAATTCATGGAAACACACCAGACATTCCATGGTCCTCAACACTTGATACTAGGCTGAGTTGAACAGTGGCCCCTCACTATTTTTGCCCTTCCTGGGTATGACTGTATTAGTCTGTTTTCACACTGCTATAAAGAACTACCTGAGACTGGGTAATTTATAAAGAAAAGAGGTTTGACTGGGCGCAGTCACTCATGCCTGTCCAGCACTTTGGCAGGCCGAGGCAGGCAGATCTCAAGGTCAGGAGATCAAGACCATCCTGGCTAACACAGTGAAACCCCGTCTGTACTAAAAATACAAAACTTAGCCAGGCGTGGTGGCAGGCACCTGTAGTCCCAGCTACTCGGGAGGCTGAGGCAGGAGAATGGTGTGAACTCGGGAGGCGGAGCTTGTAGTGAGCCAAGATAGTGCCTCTCCACTCCAGCCTGGGTGACAGAGTGAGACTCTGTCTCAAAAAAAAAAGAAAAAGAAAAGAGGTTTAATGGACTCACAGTTCCACATGGCTGGGGAGGCCTCAGGAAACTTACAATCACGGAGGAAAATGAAGGGGAGGCAAGGCACATCTTACAAGGCAGCAAGAAGGAAAGAGCAAGCAGGGAAGTGCCACACTTTAAAACCATCAGCTTCCAGGTGTGGTGGCTTACGCCTGTAATCCCAGCACTTTGGGAGGCCAAGACAGGAGGATCCCTTGAGGTCAGGAGTCCAAGACCAGCCTGGGCAACATGAGGAGACCCCTGTCTCTACAAAATAGAATTAAATTAAATTAAAAACAAAGCCTCTAGACGCCGGGAAAACAAGGAAAGCAATTCTCCTCTAGAGCCTCCAGAAGAAATGCAAACCTTCAGTCACCTTGATTTTAGCTTAGGGGAGCTCAGAACCCCAAGGGGGCTGGGTAAGGTGACTCACGCTTGTAATCCCAGCACTTTGGGAGGCCAAGGCGGGCGGATCACTTGAAGTCAGGAGTACGAGGCCAGCCTGGCCAACATGGCAAAACCCTCCCCAAAAAATACAAAAAAAATAGCCAGGAGTGGTGGCCTGCTCCTGTAATCCCAGCTACTCAGGAGGCTGAGGCAGGAGAATCACTTAAACCCAAGAGGCAGAGGTTGCAGTGAGCCAAGACTGCACCACTACACACCAGCCTGGGCGACAGATGAGACTCTATCCAAAAAAAAGAGCCAGGCGCGGTGGCTCAAGCCTGTAATCCCAGCACTTTGGGAGGCCGAGACGGGTGGATCATGAGGTCAGGAGATCAAGGTCAGGAGATGCTAACACGGTGAAACCCCGTCTCTACTAAAAAATACAAAAAACTAGCCGGGCAAGGTGGCGGGCACCTGTAGTCCCAGCTACTTGGGAGGCTGAGGCAGGAGCATGGCGTAAACCCGGGAGGCGGAGCTTGCAGTGAGCTGAGATCCGGCCACCGCACTCTAGCCTGGGCAACAGAGCGAGACTCCGCCTCAAAAAAAAAAAAAAAAAAAGTGGGTGGGTACACAGAGCCAAACTATATTAATGACCTTCTTTGGAAATAGGGTCTTTGCAGATGTAATTATTTAAATTAAGATGAGGTCATATTGGAAGAGGGTGGGCCCTGAATCCAGTATGACTAGTGTCCTTATAAAAAGGGGAGAGTTCAGGCCTTGTGCCTTACACCTGTAATCCCGGCACTTTGAGAGTCTGAGGCAGGAGGGTTGCTCCGAGTTCAAGATGAGCCTAGGCAACATAGCAAGACCCTGTCTCTACAGAAAGAAAAAAAAAATACATAAAGAAGAAGAAGGCAGGCACAGAGGCTTATGCTTGTAACCCCAGCACTTTGGTAGGCCAAGGCAGGCGGATCGCTTGAGGTCAAGACTTCAAGACCAGCCTGGCCAACATGGTGAAACCCTGTCTCTACTAAGAATACAAAAATTAGTTGGGTGTGGTGGCCCGCGCCTGTAATCCCAGCTACTCTGGAGACTGAGGCAGGAGAATCGCTTGAACCCAGGAGGTGGAGGTTGCAGTGAGCCGAGATGGCGCCACCGCACTCTGGCCTGGGTGACAGAGTGAGACTCCTTCCATCTCAAAGAAAAAAAGAGGAAGAAGAGAGAGAGATGGAGTCACACAGAAAGAACACAGCCATGTGACCAACAGAGGCAGAGATTAGAGGATTGCTGGTAACCACCAGAACCTAGGAGGAGGCAAGGAAGTCCTCTCCCCTGGAGTCTTTAGAATGAGCATGGCCCTGTCAACACCTTGACTTTGGACTCTGGCTTCCAGAACCGAGCGATAACAACTCTCGTTTGCTTTAAGCCACCCATTTTACGGTACCTTCTTATGGCAGCCCTAGAAAACTATTAGGCTGATGCAAAAGTAATTGCAGTTTTGCCATTAAAATGGCAACCCATGTCACCAGCAAGAGGCAAGAAGGAAATCAAAGTAGCTCCTGTAACTCTGTGGTCGCATCTGAGTCTTTGCACAACTTCCTTCTCTCCACTATCTAGCCTCTGTGGCCCAGACCACCCACATTCCTGGGGAGGAGATCCGATTGGCCCAGCTTGAGTCACAGGTCCAACCTGACCCAATCAACTGGGACGAAGGAATTGAGTCACCTGTTGCCAGGAGTGTTATTCAAAACAGGCAAACCACCCTGTAGCCAGACAGACGGTGACCAATCAGGTTTGACCAATCAGATTTGGCACTGGCTCCCGGACCAGAGTTGGGGGGACCATCCTTCTCTCCCCACAAATCCCATGTTAAGGCCTGGGTTGCAGGGTCACAGGGCTATCCTAGCGGGCCAGAGGATGCGTCTAGTTATAGGGGTGGTCGTGAAAGATCTGTACGGTGGGGAAATTATGGGGCTGAAGAAACTGGCCAGCTCTGTAGAGCAGAGAGGGACAGGATGTGCTGGTAAATGGTTAACAACCAACTCTCCAGAGGGAGGAAAAATGAGTGTTTATTATAAATTGTATTGGCATGTAAACAACCTTGGAGACATAGCGATACCCTCCCTGTCTCTGCAAAAAAATTAAAAAGTTAGCCAAGTGCGGTGGCGCACACTTGTGATCCCAGCTACTCGAGAGGCTGAGATGGGAGGATCACCCGAGCCTGGGGAGGCCGAGGCTGGAGGCTGCATTGACTCATGATTGCACCGCTGCATTCCAGCCTGGTCAACAGAACAAGACCATCTCAAAAAAAAAAAAAGAAAGGGCCGGGCGCGGTGGCTCAAGCCTGTAATCCCAGCACTTTGGGAGGCCGAGGCGGGTGGATCACGAGGTCAGGAGATCGAGACCATCCTGGCTAACATGGTGAAACCCCGTCTCTACTAAAAATATAAAAAACTAGCCGGGCGTGGTGGCGGGCGCCTGTAGTCTCAGCTACTTGGGAGGCTGAGGCGGGAGAATGGCGTGAACCCGGGAGGTGGAGCTTGCAGTGAGCCGAGATCACGCCACTGCACTCCAGCCTGGGAGACACAGCGAGACTCCGTCTCAAAAAAAACAAAAAAAAAAAGAAAGAAAGAAAAAAGCTAGTCCCCAAGTATCACACAGGAGGTGGAGGCTGGAGATGAGTCTTTAAATTCCTCACACATTACCATAACTCAGATTTTCTTTCAGTCTGTTTCTGGATGTTTCTCTAGCCCCCTAGCCCTGGCACAATGCTGGCACATTACAGATGCTCAATACACACAAATAAGCAAATAAGTACAATGAATTAATAGAAAGGATGAATCCCAGTTGCTTGGGAGGCTGAGGCAGGAGGATCGTCTAAGTCCAGGAGTTCAAGACTAGCCTCGGCAGGGTCGAAGACCCACCCCCCCAAACAACTCCCCTAAAAAAGCCCATTCCACAAACTCAGGAACCTCTTTAAATAGATATATAGATATATATATAGATATATAGATAATATATATAATACATTATCTGAGCTCAGGCTCAGAATAAATATCAAGGTCCAACTTGAGGAAGGAGTGGGTGAGGAGAGTCCTCAAGGGGAGGTCAGCAGCAGGGGTCCCTGCCAAGCCCCTTGAGGTAGAGAAATTACCAGGGACCCAGCACCAGGGGTCTCCATGAAGGATGGAGTAGGGTTCAGTCTCTGTCCAGGTGGGCTGCACCCAGGCTGGGCGTTATTCAGACCTCGGTGAGGGGAGTCCGGCTGGGACTTCGGGGGTCACCCGGAAGAGCCCCAAGACTGTGGCGCCCTGGGTAAGCTGCCAGGCATGGCATGCCCTGGCCTCAGTGTGCAGATGGACACCCAGGCGCTGGCCAGCACCCAGGTGCAGCAGGCGGCCCTGGAAACCGAAGGCCGAGTTCCGAGCCTCGGAGGAGGCGGATGGCAGGTCCACAGTCAAAGCCAGGGCGGCAGCCCCAGCAGCAGAGCGCAGTGGCTGAAGGTGCAGCGCAAGCGAAACGGAGCCTGAGCCCTCGCCGGCCACCACGCGCTGCAGCTCTAGTTGCAGGAAGACGTAGTAGATGCCAGCCTTGGCCACCACCAGCTCCTTTGTGTCCTCCTTGTAGCTCAGGCCCTCCGCCAGAGACACGCCTGCCAGGCCTGGGTCGCTGTACCAGCTCAGGGGCCCATCGGTCAGCAGAACTGTGGGAGGATAGGATGCACTTAGTTTCGCTGAGCTTGTCCCAACACAGCTGGGCGTGGCCACGGAGCAGGACAGCGCAGCTCTGGGAGAAATGAAAGGGTGAGGGGGGTCGAGGGGAGGCGGGGTGGGGGGGGACGGGGGAGGGAAACGGGGAATTGTGGGGTGGGGAGTGGGGCAGGGGAGCGTGGGGGGAGGAGCTGAGCGTGGGGGGCGGCTGATTGAAGGAGACTGAGGTCGTAGGGGACTGGACTTTGAGCGGGGGTAGGGCTGGGGAAGGGAAAGAAGGGGATAGAACAGAGGAAGGGAATCCAGGGGGAAGGCCAAGAGTCAGGACAGGGCAGAACTCCAGGAGGCTGGGTGGGGAAGGAGCGATGCGGCTGCGGGGGGAGACTTTCAGGAAGAGGAGGACGGGGTGAAAAGCAAAAGGCCGGGCGAGTCTGGCTGGAAGAGGCCTCGGGGAGGGGTAAGGGGACTCCTGGAGAGGGCAGTGAGGGGGTTGGAGGGAGCAGCAGATTCCAGACAGAATGGAGATGGGGGAGAAGGGAGAGAAGGCAGGAAAGGGGAGAGGAGAGGTGGAGAGGGAGGCTGGGAGGGAGCTGGGAGGGAGAGGGAAGGTCCTTAGGAAAGGGGGAAGTTCTAGAGGAAGGATCCATCAGGGAATCAAGGGAACTTTGAGACGGGTGGACAGAGGACCTAGTAAGAGAGGACTTCAAAGAAAGGAAAAGGGAGGAGGAAGGGGCGGAGGAGGGGTTAGGGAGAAGGAAGCACCAAGGAGAGAAGATGGCAGGGAGGGGGTCTCTCGACTGCGAGGGGAAGGGGTAGGGAGGAGTATTGGGCAGGGGGAGGGAAAGAGGGGAAGGGGAACTCTGGAGTGGGGAGGGAACGGGGATGGGGTCTCTGGAGGGAAGGGGGAAGAGGTCTCTGGAGGGGGAGGGATGGGGTCTCTGCAGGGGGGAAAGAAGGGGGGTGGGGTCTCTGGAGAGGGAGAAGGGGGAAGGGGTCTCTGGAGAGGGAGGGAAGGGGGAAGGGGTCTCTGGAGGGGAGGAGAAGGGGGAGGGGTCTCTGGAGGGAGAGGGGAAGGGAGAAGGGGGTCTCTAGAATGGGAGGGGAAGGGAGAAGGGGGTCTCTAGAATGGGAGGGGAAGGGGGAAGAGGTCTCCAACGGGAAGGGAAGGGGGTCTCTCGACGGAGAGCGAAGGTGTGGGGAGGAGGGTCTTGGAAACAGGGAGAGGATGGCGTTGGGGAGGAGGGTTTGGGGAAGGGGTAGGGTAAGAGACAGGGAGGAGGGTCTAGGGGAGGGGAAGGGGAGAGGAGGAGGGCCTGGGGATGGGGGAGAGAATGGGAGTAGGGAGGAGGCTCTGGGGGAGGAGAAGAGGTGGGGAAGAGAGGCTGGGGGAGTGGGGAAGGGGCAGGAAAGAGGGAAGAAAAGCAACAGGGAGGAAGATTTCAAAAAGAAGGAGGCCAGAGACACAAAACCAGGCTGGGGGTTGGGGATGTCAAGCCCCAACTCTGAGAGGGCAGGGGTCCCAGGTGGGCCCAGACGGGGGTCTGATGGGGAGGCCATGGTATCCAGAGAGTCAGGGCAAGTCAGAAAGAGGGACAAAAGAGGGATCGGTGGCGTTCAAAGAGGTGAAGTGGCAGCTTTCAGAGAAGGCAGCGGTCGAGGGTCAGAGCGGGTGGGCGGCAGAACCCCACTCTCCAGGTGTTCCCCCTTCTTAGTATCCCCAGGAGGGGCCAGGGACCGGAAGTGGCGCAGGACACTCACCATTTTGGGCCACCAGCTGCGCAAACATGCCCTGTTAAAAGTGGAAAGAACGAAGGTGGATGGGGGTTCCCCGAGAAAATGGAGGTTCTGTCTCCACTCACTTCAGTTGTCAGGGTCCCCAGGGTCTGTGCAGACCTGAAGCCTACGCTTCCCTTCACTTCCAACTAAAGAACACTGAGAACACACACACGAATACACACACAAAGACACACAAACACACCACAAACACACGAACACACACACACAAACACACACGAACACACACAAACACACCACAAACACACACACGAACACACACAAACACGAACACACACAAACACACCACAAACACAAACACACAAACATACCACAAACACAAACACACGAACACACACACCACACACACACAGGAACACACACACACAAACACACACACAAACACACACACACACACACACACACAAGAAACTGGTGGCTCAACCTGCCCCAAGGACAGACCTCCGAGAATTCAGGAGGGAAAATAGATCCCTCTTCTTTCCAACCCCCTTGCGGGGATTCCCCTGGGGGTCTTGCAAGGGAGAGGGGGATACCTCAACGGTTGGGGATAAGGCTCTTTGGGAGTTAGCAAAGGAACTGGGGGTCTCCCTGGTGGTCCCAGATAAAGAGGAAGTGCCCCCCTCGGATCGCGGATGGAAAAGTTTCCCCCGCAGGGATGCGGATCTTGTGAGGTTGCCGCGTAAAAAGAGGTGCCCTCTCCGTCCTAAGTCCTACATAGAGAAAGGAGGCTATCGAGGGTTGGAGAACCGCGGAGGGTCTCCCTTCCAGGGTGCAGATGGGGTGCCTTGGGAATGCGGAATGAAGAGGGGTGCCCCCACCCAGTGCCACATGGAGGAGAGAAGCCAGCCTTTCTCCGACCCGGGGTGCAGAAGACGTGTCCTTGGGGGGTTGAGGACGGTGGGGGTCTCCTCCTCTTGGCCTGGGGTGCTGATGGGGTCTCGTGGGGATGTGGAATGAAAGGGGTGCTCTCCCGTGCAAGACGGAGAAGGAGAGCCCTTAGAGGTCCAAAAAGAACTTGTCGGGGTCCCCTCTCCCCCGTGCGGGATACAGATAGGGTCTCCTAGCGGGCGCAGGATAAAAGGGGCGCCCCCCGGGCTAGAAGAAGAAGGAGACCCTTGGGGGGTCCAAAAAGAACTGTTGGGCAGTCTCCTCCCCGCCCCCGGCCTGGGGTACTGATGAGGTCTCGTAGGGGTGAGCGATGAAAGGTGTGCCCCCTCGCCCCGCCTCGGTGCTAGATGGAGAAAGGGAGCCCCCGTGAGTCTCCTCTCCCAGGCCGGGAGTGTAGAACTGGTGTCCCTGGGGGTGCGGGAGGGAGAAGGGAGTCCCACAGGGACGGTAGGGGTCTCCCGCGAGACCAGCTACCGAGGGTCGGGGCACGTCTCACCTGCCGCAGGTCCAAGAGGCCGGCGGGATTGTCGGGCGAAAGCTCGGGACCCTCGCGGAGTCTCGGGCTAGCGGCGGAGCCAGGCGAGGCGTGAGCCCCGGACACGGCCCAGGGGCGGGCGAGGAAGACGGTGCAGGCGGCAACGAGCAGCAGCAGCACGGCCACCAGAGCCCAAGGCAGCAGGCGGCAGGCGCGGGAGCGGGGCGCGGGAGGCCACGGGGCCTCGGGGTCCAGGGCAGCGTCAGAGGCGCATTCCATGACCGGCGACCGGAGACTGCCGGCAGACACAGCGCGCAGCCTTTTATAGACTTCAAAAAGGGTACCGCTGTCACGTCCCTCCGCCCGCGGCCGACGGCCACGCCCCTCCGCCCGCGGCCACGCCCCTTCCCAGCCCAGAGCCTTTCCCCTTGCCCCCGTGACTCTGCGAAATTTTCTCCACTCGGATCTCTCTCCGCCTTTCGCTCTCCTTTGCGTTTCCGGCCTTCCAAGCTCGGCCCCAGGTTCTTTTCTGCCTGCTGGGTCTCCACTGCCCTGGTTCTCCCTCTCTGCCGCTCTTTCCCGGTATCTCTGTGGGTCTCTTGCTGACTCAGTCTCCTTTGCTCTGTGTGTCTCCCCGTTAACGTCTTTCTCTCTCTCTCTCCCTATCTCTGGCTATGTTATCTCTGTCTCTGTCTCTGCCTCTGGCTCCCTCTCTTTATGCATCTCTGTGTCTCTCCCTGTCTCTGTATGTCTCTGGCTCTCACTCTTTCTGTCTCTCTGCCTGTTTCTCTCTGTCTCTGATTCCCTCTGTCTCTGACTCTCTATCTCTCCCTGTCTCTCTCCTTTTCCTTGTTAGTCTCTGTCTCCTTCCCCTCCTCTCAGCACCCCCTAGCCTCCCATCACTAGGACTCCCCCAGGTTCCCCCACATCCAGCACTTCCTAAGAAGGATCAGGCTTCAGCCAGGCCTCAACCACCCCCACTCCTGGAGCACCTGCCCCCAAGCCCCAACCCCCCCAGTGGAACCCTGAGTGTCATGCTCAGCCCTCCTGCCCACCTTCCCCAGGATCCCTGGGCCTTCCCTGGCCTGCCCCCACCCACCCACTGGATGCTTCCCGGCAGGAGCCCCTCGGGACCCTATAAGCAGAAGCTCGGAGAGTCCAGGTGGAGAAATTCCCCTTGCGAGAAAGAGACAGTGTGGAGCCAGTTGGAGGAAACTCACATTTCCCATCTGCTCTGGCCTGCTGGAGGCGGCCAATCCGGGGCTGGGAGGATGGGCCAAAAAGCAGTGAAAACTTAGCCCCAAAAGAGGAAGTACTCCTAGATGGAGAGGGAGGTGACCCGGGGAAAGCCCTTGGTTGGTGTTGAAGTCCTGGTCTGCCCAGACCAGTGTGGGTCCACACTAGCCAACTCCCTTCCCGTCTCCCAGCCCCACGGGAGATGGGAGGTAGACCACACCTTTCATCCCTCTGCTAGCAGGAGTCAACAGCCCATGAAATAAAGGGACTTGTTTTGTTTTCAGATACCAGCTCTGTTGCCCAGGCTGGAGTGCAGTGGCACGATCATAGCTCACTGCAGCCTCCAATCCTGGGTTCAAGCCATCCTCCTGTCTTAGCCTCCTGAATAGCTGGAACTACAGGCACATACCACCATGCCTACCAATTTTTTTTAATTTTTTACTTTTTTATAGAGACAGGATCTTGCTATGTTGCTCAGCCGGTCTCAAACTCCCGGACTCAAGCGTTGCTCCTCTCTTGGCCACTCAGCGCTGTGAGTGCAGGCATGCATTCCGTGCCCAGTCATAAGGGAGACTTCTCATGCAACAAAACAAGTATCTTCCGATGTCAGCACTGTGTCTGATCCTGTATTGGGCCTCCCTGGGGGATTACAGAGAAAACAATAATGATACTGGCTAGTGTTGAAGGAACATTACCAAATGCTAAACACTTCCTATATACGGTTTGGGTTCTCCACGTGTGAGGCCCAACCCAGCAACAGGGCCACTATCAATTAGCTATGCAAATTCTAGCACCTGGAAACTCTCTGGAGGGGGCGTCCTCCAGAAGATTCTCACGGCCCGTAAGTTTGAGAATGCCACTTGTGCCCACGTTTTTCCTTCGCAGCTGCTGTTCCTGGGCCTGGAACATTCTTTCCCCAGACCTGCAACTGCCAGACACCTTCTTACCACTCATGTCTCCCTATATACCATCCCTTCCGGGTCAAGGTGACAAACTGAACCAGCCTCTGCTTTCACTGTCTCCTGAAACTTCACTGTAGTGACACTTAAGCAATTGTTCGTAAACCAAAAAAAATTACAAGCCAGCAGAATGGAAAGGTGAGTTTCCTTAGATTTCCACCACCCCCAAGACTTACTTGTTGGTGAATCCCCTCAACCATGAACAACGTGGTGGATGGCGGCTAAAATACAGAAGTTTGCCATAGATAAATTTGCGGAAGAAGGCAGGGCACGGTGGTTCACACCTGTAATCCCAGCACTTTGGGAGGCTGAGGCAGGTGGATCACCTGAGGTCAGGAGTTCAAGACCAGCCTGACCAACATGGTGAAACCCCATCTCTACTAAAAATACTAAAATTAGCCAGGCGTGATGGCAGGTGCCTGTAATCCCAGCTACTCAGGAGCCTGAGGCAAGAGAATCGCTTGAACCTGGGAGGCGGAGATTGCAGTGAGCCGAGATGGAGATCGTGCCACTGCGCTCCAGCCTGGGTGACAAAGTGAGACTCTTATCTCAAAAAGAAAAAAAAAAAAAAATGCGGAAGGGACATGAGCTCCTCTCCACTTTCCATAAGACAGAATCAGAGAAGGAATTTTTTGTTTTAAGATAGGTTCTCGGCCCAACCTGGTGGCTCACGCCTGTAATCCCAGCACTTTGGGAGTCTGAGGCGGGTGGATCCCTTAAGTTCAGGAGTTCAAAACCAGCCTGGGCAACATGGTGAAGCCCTGTCTCTACTAAAAAAAAAAAAAACTACAAAAATTAGCTGGGTGTGGTGGCGTATGCTTGTAGTTCCAACTACTTGGGAGGCTGAGGCGGGAGAATCACTTGAACCCGGGAGGTGGAGGTCGCAGTGAGCCGAGATTGCACCACTGCACTCCAGCCTCGGTGACAGAGCAAGACTCTGTCTCAAAAATAATAGCATCTCACTCTGTTGTCCAGGCTGGAGTGCAGTGCTGTCATCACGGCTCATTGTAGCCTCGAACTCCTCGGCTTAAGTGACCCTCCCGCCACAGACTCCCAAAGTGCTGGGACTACAGGTAACAGCCACCTCACCTGGCCCTTTCTAAATCATTTTTATTTTTTTGAGACAGGGTTTCACACTGTCACCCAGGCAGTGGGTAATCACAGCTCACAGCAACCTCAACCGCCAGGCTAAAGCAATCCTCCCACCTCAGCCTCCCAAGTAGCTAGGACTATAGGCACGCACCACGATGCTCAGCTAATTTAGTATTATTTGAAGAGATGGGATTTCACCATATTGCTCAGTCCACCTCCTTGGCTCAACTGATCCGCTCATCTCGACCTCACAAAGTGCTGGGATCATAGGCGTGAGCTACCTTGGTGGGCTGCTGGGCCGCCAGGCCCTTTTTTATTCTTTTTTATTTTTTATTTTATTTTATTGCATTTTTTCCTAAGTGAATGCACACAGGATATTTTATTTTATATTTTAATTGAGACAGAGTCTCTCCATGTTGCCCAGGCTGATCTCTAACTCCTGGGCTGAATGGATCCTCCTGCCCTGGCCTCCCAAAGTACTGGGATTACAGGTGTGAGCCACTGCGTCCAGTTTTTTTTTGTTTGTTTTGTTTTGTTTTGTTTTTTTTTTTCCTTAAGAGAAAGGAAAGGCCGGGGGCAGTGGCCCATGACTGTAATCCCAGCACTTTGGGAGGCCAAGGCGGGTGGGTCACAAGGTCAAGAGATTGAGACCATCCTGGCTAACACGGTGAAACCCCATCTCTACTAAAAAATACAAAAAATTACCTGAGCATGGTGGGGCACGCTGTAGTCCCAGCTACTCGGGAGGCTGAAGCAGGACAATTGCTGGAACCTGGGAGGCGGAGATTGCAGTAAGCCAAGATCGCACCACTGCACTCCAGCCTGGCGACAAAGCAAGACTCCGTTTAAAAAAAAAAAAAAAAAACAGAAAGGAAAATGGGCTGGGCACCGTGGCTCATGCCTGTAATCCCAACACTTTGGGAGACCTAGGTGAGTGAATCACCTGAGGTCAGGAGTTCAAGACCAACCTGGCCAACATGGTGAAACCCCGCCTCTACTAAAAATACAAAAAAAAATCAGCCAGGCGTGGTGGCACACACCTGTAATCCCAGCTACTTGGGAGGCTGAGACAGGAGAATTGCTTGAACCCGGGAGGCGGAGGTTGCAGTGAGCGGAGATCATGCCTTTGCACTCCAGCCTGGGTGACAAGAGTGAAACTCTGTCTCAAGAAAAAAAAAAAGAGAGAGAGAGAGAGAAAGGGAAATGGCAGAGTTTCTGGAAAGAGAAAAAAAATTGCGGGTAGTGGGAAACAGGAGTGTTCATTGAACCTGGAATGTGAATGTGAAATTAAGACGCACACATGCCCTCAGCGCTTACCTCTACTCCCTCCGCATCCAGGATCCAGAAGATGGATAGGCAGAAGGTTCCTCTCCAAGGAAACTGACCAACCAGGAATAAAGACTTTTTTTTTCCTTTTTTTGAGACAGTCTTGCTCTGTCATCTAGGCTACAGTGTAGTGGCACCATCTCGGCTCACTGCAACCTCTGCCTCCTTTTAGTAGAGACAAGGTTTCTCCATGTTGGCCAGGTTGGTCTTGAACCCCTGACCTCAAGTGATCCGCTCACCCCAGCCTCCCAAAGTGGTGGGATTACACACATGAGCCACCGCACCAGGCCAGGAATAAAGATTAAAAGATACTGATGCTGCTGGGCATGGTGCCTCATGCCTGTAGTCCCAGCTACTCAGGAGGCTGAGGTGGGAGGACTGCTTGAGTCCAGGAGGTGAAGGCTGCAGTGAGCTATGATTGCACCTCTACACTCCAGGCTGGGCAACAGAGCGAGACCCTATCTTTAAAAAAATAAATAAAATAAATAAATAAGGAAAAGAGAAAGAAATATAACATAAAGGTTAAGCGCACTCTAGGCCGGGCACGATGGCTCACGCCTGTAATCCCCACATATTGGGAGGCTGAGGCAAGCGGATCACTTGAGGCCAGGAGTTTGAGACCAGCCTGGCCAACATGGTGAAACCCCACCTTTACTAAAAATACAAAAATTAGATGGAAGTGGTGGTGCGAGCCTGTAATCTCAGCTACTCTGGAGGCTGAGGCAGGAGA